GAAGCCCCAAGCGCTGTGCTTATCCTTCTTTAATCACCAATTTTGGGATCAGGTCCTTCAAAAGAATCTCAGATGCTTTCTATCCTTTGTCTTTTTTTTTTTAATTTAAAAAGGAGGGCGTTTACTGCAAATATGCTTTTATAATGATCATTAAAATCATTAAAATTAAGCTCATATTCCACTACTTTGCTTGATAGGTTGTAATGTTTCTAGTCTTTTTTCTGTATGCTTTAAAAAGCAGCTAGATAAACAATTTTTCTAGTGATAAACTCCCAGTAGGCAGATAAGAACCACTCAGGCACTTGCTTACCCCCTCACCCAGCAAAATGGGGGAGAGAATCAGAAAGGCAAAAGTGCAAAACCTCACGTGTTGAGATAAAGACAGTTTAATTCTTTTTTTAAGAGGAGGAAATAAACAACAAAGAGGAGAAAAAATAAAAAAAAAACAAACACAAAACAACACAAAAACAACTGATGCAGAAGAAAACAATTGCTCACTACCAACGAACCAGTCAGTCCCCAAGAAACATCATCCCCAGCCAGCCTTCACCTGCATCCCTCACTCCCACTTTTGTTGCTGAACAGGATGTCATATGCTGTGGGATATCCTTTTGGTCAGTTGGGGTCAGCTGTCCCTGCTTCATCCCATCTCAAACTCTTCTGCACCCCCAGGTCCTTGATGTTGTGTAAGTACTGCTCAGCAATAACTAAAACATCCCAGTGTTATCAACACTGTATCACAAATCCCCATACAAGTTACTATGAAGAAATTTAACATTATCTCAGGCAAAACCAGTACATCACAATGTGTCAGCAATTCCTGTGGAAGTGGAAAATACCAAATTTCATTGGTACTGTGGAATGCCACCATTACAATATTCCTTTTCCCACCAAATGGAAAGCTGTAGACAAACACTCATCATGTCACTTCAGAAGCTAGCTTACAATCACCTCCAGGTAAAGATCCAGGGCTCATTTTCGAGAGTGCTGAATTTTTTAACGGTCATCATCTGAAAGTCAGTACTGGTGGAAGAGCAAAGCCAACCCTAACCTGGAAACAAGATTTTCCAGAATAGGTTCCAGAATGGGATGGCAAGCTCTCAGTTTTTCTTGCTAGGCATTTCTTTGGCACGGCTGCCCACAGCAAGGATTAAAAACAGCTCAGATCAAGATGGTAGCAGGCAGCAGGATTGGCAGACTGAACACAGTAAAGAAATCACATTCCTTATGGTCATGATCAAGCCTAAATCTCTTTTTCCTCCAGTTTTCCACTTGTAAAACAGGCAGAATATTACTCCACATTACCTCTGGGACTCTAGAATTCATGGTGGATTTCTGCTGTCACCTCTGGATGCAACACCATGGTACCAGGAACCTCAACACTGCCACTGTCTTTCTTCCTTCCCATCCACATCCCAGTCCTTATCCAGAAAATAAAAGATTTTTCATTACAAAAAATTTTTGTAATTCTTAAATAACACAGCCTCCACATTACAGCAGAATGTCAGTTAAAAGTACCTAACTGTACATGAAATCCTAAAAAATACATATGCTTTAGAGACAAAATCAGTGAATTAATTTGCTTATGTAAAAACAATACTGTAAAACCTAAGAGGACACCGTATATAAAGGTAAATAAAAATCTAGACAGATAGAAAATGCTTAGCATCAGTAAACATGTTAACTAACATAATATTTTGACCATGCATGATTTTAGTGACAACAGCTCCAATTTCTTTTAAAAATTGT